TAAGACATACATACTATTCCATGGTTTTGGTGCTTTACAAGCTCAACCCTGTGTGAGTGCCCAAAGTGAAACTCAGGCCCAACGTAGGATGCTTTCCCACGTGTGTGTATCTTCCCGTGAGGACCTGACTGTGCCTCCCAACTCAGGCTCATCCTGTTTGTGCTATGTTGTCCTCACTACAGTATTCAGAATGGGAGTTACCTTGTTTTGATGAGTTCAGGGATTTTTTATCATCTCCCTGACCCCCTCACCCCCACNCAGAGACTATGTTGGGTTTATGCAGAGGCTGGTGGGCATTAGACAGGGATTGGCACCCTGGACATCTAAATATGTTGTGGATTAATTAATAAAGGAATGTGGCCCTGACTAGTGTGGCTAAGTTGTTGGAGCATGGGCACAAGCACTGAGGGGTCGTGGGTTCAATTTCTGGTGAAGGGCATGTACCTGGGTTAGAGGTTCGATCCCCAGCCCTGGTTGGGGCATGTGCTGGAGGCAACCAGTAGGTGTTTCTCTCTATCCCTCCCTCCTTTCCACTCTCTCTAAAAATCAATTGAAAAAATATCCTCTGATCAGGATTAACAAAAAAATTAAAAATTAAAAAAAAAGGAACCTAGAGTCACTGCTCAGTAAGAGTTTGCAGATTAAAAGAGCAGAAATGCTAACCTGAGGAGCTCAGGGAAAGCCTTTGTGGCAGCCTTGCAAACTCAAGAGACCTAAAATAACCACAAAGGATGGTTTGTAATTAATGTTTATTTTACTAAAAGGAGTTTCTGTCAGGTAGTCATGCCCTAACCTAAAGTCTTACCAAATAAAAGCCAATCTTTATTGACCCTGCCCGTTCTTTTGCATCTAAATTATATACCTTTGGAACGTGAGGGTAAGTTCTTTTTCCTGACCTCTGGGCACAACCAGTGCACCAGAGCGAAGACTGCAAGTCTCTCAGTGTCGCTTTCAGTGTGTTAATTGTTCTCCATTAACTATGCTGTACCCACGTAGTAAAAGGCATACATGTCTAGCGTTTTAATTTTATTCAATCCCAGAGGTTTCCCTGCGTTGCTTTCTCCCGCTGCCCCAATCTCTCGCCAATGAATTTTATGCAACCCACTGTAGTCCTCTCTTTTGAATAAGGTGCAAAACTCTCTGGAGCATTTTCTCAGTCCATTGAGATTTTGCTTCTTGACAACTGTCTACAGTTTTGCTCAAGTAAACTCACAAAAACTCTCTACGGACTTTAATGTTACATACAAGGAGCCCTTTCTCTGAGTCTCCTCTCCCCCTCGCTGGGATTAAAATCCTGTGTCTGGGTCTCTCCCCACCTTCACTGCCAGGGAGGGTGGGCCCCCCACGAAGGCGAGGCCAACCCCCCCCCGGGGGGGGCGGGGGCTCGCCCGTCCCAGCGCCACGGCCCTGGGCCCTGCTCTCCGAAGATCGGCCCCCGTCTTCCGGTTGCCGGGAGCCGGGCGACTCCGACACTGCGCCAAAGCGAGGACCGCACCCC